AAAGAAGGCGTAATTTTCTACCAAAAGAGTACAAGAAATAATTTTTTCGTGCGTATTTTCCAAAAAAATATATTTGAATCCATAAAGGCAGTCGAAACTAATGACAAAAAGGCAGACTACTTGATATGAGATAGGGAATCTACTGTAACTACCTCCTCCCCCCTCCTCTTCCGAGCATGGCTGCAGCCACACTGAAAACCTAGGTCTGTCATACTTCGCGACTTCATTCGTGTCCAGCGTATATGTTGCCTAAGTAATCACCTGGCTAAAGGTGTGTGGAAGTCGGTATCCCCAGTGTGTCTTGATTTTCGGCACAAAAATTACTAGTGTTATTGAGCAGGTTGTCCTTCTATAACTGGATCTAAGATCACTTTATTGTGGGATGTCAGAGGCTTTATTTGAACACTTATATTCTCCGTTAAAGTAGTAGTTCAAAAAAATCTAGACTATGAAGAATTCTTTACGCGTGTTTTTGACAAGTTTTTCTGGCATATTTTTACCTCCTTTTGGGAATAAGACTTTGATGCCTATTTGGCTTGCCCCATTTATTACGTTATGTATTTTCATCCATGTCCTGGCGGCATTTAGCTGTTTAAGCGCCTTTTCTTCCTGCAGACTAAGTACCTGACAACTATCCTTCTATCTTAGAATGAAGAAGTCTTGAAAAAGAGCGCCGAGGACTATCAGGCCCAACTTCGGAGGCAAGAACAGAAGTATCAAGCACTGAAGGCTCACGCAGAACAAAAGCTAATGAAGTACGTTCTGACCACTTTTCTACTAACTGCATCCAGTTACAATCAGTATCTACCTTCTAGTTGTTCATTCTTCGATTCCTCTCTCTCTCTCTGATTGACAACTTTTATGCGATTTTTGACCTCTCCAAGGCCACGTGGTTGTGGCTTTTCTGAGGCTTGCCGTTCTGTTCTCACACTTAAAAATCTCTTTCCTGGAGCGTGTTCCTTACAGTGGCTCGCGCTTTTTCCGGGCCCGGTGCCATGACATCGTTGAGAAGAGCGCAGTGGTTGACAGAATTAAGCAGACCGACTACGCGCCCACTGGTCCCGGATTTCACACAAACAACAAAGGGGCGACTTGCATCCCAACTGGGTGGGAATGCCATAGAGGCCATATTGA